CCGGCAGCCAGCCCCAGGGTGAGGAGCAGCAGCTCTGCGCTTGCCTGGGACCGAGGGGTGGAAGGAAAGTCCTCCCACTGAGGTCCCCCATCCCACAGGCTTTTGTTCTCAATAAATGGGACCAAGGTGGGACTACGGGTCCAGGATCGTGTGGTGGGACTGTGGCTGGGGCTGCCAGCAGGACCATAATGGGACAAGGATGGTGCACTGGGGACCAGGATCATGCATGGGACCATGACTGAGTGGTGGGATCAAAACTGTAGTGGGCCACATGGTGTAGGACCATGAGGTGGGATCGGGAACATCTATGGGACCAAGACTGAGTGGTGGGACCAGACCATGTGGTGCAACTGGGATCGGGGCAAATTGGTAGGACCAGGACCGCATGCAGGACCCAAACTACATGGTGGGACCAGCACCGTGCATGGGACCAGGACTAACTGATGGGTATGGGACCATGCAGTGGGACCTGGGCTTTGGACAGGACCAGGACCACGCACAGGACCAGACTGAGTGGTGGGATGGGATGGGATGGGATGGGATGGGATGGGATGGGATGGTGCATAGGACCAGCCCCACGCATGGGACTGCTGATTGCAGAGAAAATCAAGCAAATCCCCCAAACCCGGCAGCGCCAGGTGGGGCCTGTTGGCACCCAGCCCTGGTCTTTAAAGGCCCCCAGGGGTGGGGCTGGGGCTGCTGCTGGCTGAGGATGGGGCTGTGTTGGTGGGTGCTGGTGTGTGGGGCTCTGCTGGGGGTGGCAGGTGAGTGGGGCTGGGACCCCCCAGTTCCCCCACTGGTTGTACCGGAGGAGGTGGGTGGTGGGTGCCTCTTGGTTTTGTCCAGTGCTGGTTCCTGGCATTCTCCTGGACCTGCTGGTACAGGTCTTGGTGCAGAGGAGACTTCTTGCAATGACCCTTGTGGGGGCTTGCCAGGAGCTCCTTGTGCCCCCAGGTCCCAGCAGGTCTGTAAGGACCCGATTTGGGTGCGGGGACTAGTGACACTGGTGGGGTACATGGCTGCTGGCAGTGGTCTCCTGTCCCATGAGCAGCTCCTGGTCTGTCCCCAGTCTTGGCCAGGGTCATGCTACTGGGAGGCGCTTTTGGTGCGGCCTGTCTGCTCCCAAGCATGCCTGGTGCTGAGGTGGCTGGGGACACTTAACCTTGCGTTTTGGGGGAGGTGTGGAGAACCCTGTGGAGCAGCAGCTCCTCCAGAACCCACCACTACAGTGACCACAGTGGTCCCATACCAGGGCCTGGCCACTGAGGCCGGGGAGGTCCTGGCTGTGGGAGCTGGGGATGGAGGAGCACCCCGCTGTGCCCAAACCCAGCTGAGCTCCTGGGTGCTCTCCCCTCCTCTGCTGCCAGCTGCCCTCCACGAGCCCCAGGGACATCTGAGGACCTGGATGTCCCCACTGTGCCTGGGACCTACTCCTGCGTGCTAAACCTGCCCCTTGCTGCAGGGACCACCACGGCTCCAGCTGCTTCAGCGTCCTCTGGCCACACGGTGATGGCTCCAGTGGTGTCCTCAGGCATGGGGACAAGGGCTGCAACCTCAGTGCTTGCTGCTGCCACCCTGCCTGGTGGGGCTCGTGCTCACTCCCGCTCTGAGGAGCCCATCATGAACTTCACCTTGAGCATCCTGGATGGTGAGTGCTCTGGGTCTTGTCTTGGGTGGTGACTCTGGCGGATGAGACCGCAGGGTCCATCCCAGACCCTTGGGATTGCCCAGCAGCACCCAGTGCTTTCTCCTGGCTGGCCTCAGTTCTAAGGCCCATCAGGAGAAGGTGGTCACCCCTGCAGGACCTCCCCTCCCAGCTCTGCAGAGGGTGTAGGGGCTTTCAATGGTGGTGCTTTGAGATGTTCCCAGTCCTGTGCTTGATACCGTGACTGGATTTTAAGGGTCAGCTGCCCCTTGTTCCGATGGGTGACACGGTCCCTCTTGGCCTCGTGGAGGGGACAGGAAGGTGCTGTAGCTCTGGAGAGCAGGCCGGGAAGCCAGACTGGGGTGGCAGAGCTGGGACAGCCCTTGGCTTCCAGGGACAAGGGGTGGGCTCCAAGAAGGGGGAGCTGCAGGCAGCACCCAGCTGGCAGGGGTGGAGGCAAAGACACCTATGGGCGGTGGTCTGGGATGTGTCCAATGTCCCTGTCTGTGGTGGGACAGGCTCAGGATGTCACACTGAGCCCACCCTCCCTTCTCCTTCAGGGGACCCCAGCGCCACAAAGAAGCTGCTGGTGCTCAGCCCCAGCTCTGCCATCCACCTGGAGGCCAGGGTTGACTTCAGTCCCACCATCTCCCTCAAGATCTACGTGGACCAGTGCTACGGGACCAGCTCGGAGCAGCTGGGACACTCCAGGAGGGTCTTCATGGTGGTGAATAGCCGTGGGTCAGTGCCCATGGGGCGGGAGGTGGGGACCGCCGCTCCGGGCACCCTGAGGTCCTGCAAGGTCTCCTGACGGGGAGGGATATCCAGGGACTGGAGACAGCCTGGGAAGGTCCCCACGTTGCTCTCCTGCCTCAGGTGCCTGCACGGGCAGAAGCTGGGGACCGTGTCTGTCCAGCACCGGAGAGGGGTGTCTGCCCTCCGGCTCACCGTCCCGGCCCCTGTGCTGGAGGACGAGCCCGAGGAGGAGGTGAGGTTGGGGTTGTGTCCTTGGTGGTGGGCTCCCAAAGCACCATCCTTCCTGGGGCATCCTGCTCCCTGCCGGGGTGGTCTCAACCCCACGGGGTTGGGTGGGAGGACAGCAGGGTCCCCGAGGAAGGACGTGGTGATGGCGGCGTGCTGGTGTCTCGGCAGGTCTACGTGCACTGCCTGCTGACGGTGTGGGGCCCTGCCGGTGGCCGGGGGCATGGTGCCAGGTCCTGCTTCTACAGCCAAGCCACGGCCGGGTAAGCTCAGCCCTGGAGCAGGCTCGGTGCCCCAGGACACGAGCACCCATGGGTGCTTTGGGAGCAGAAGTCACTTGTCAGGGAATCCATCTGGGGGACCGAGCCACCCCACCGCGGTCTGGATGCCACCTCTTCTCCCATGGTAGCCAGGTGGCATCACCACAGGCCCTGGCTCCCTCCTGGTGCAGATGAGTTGGGAATGTGCTTGGTGCCACCTGGGGGACATCTCCAGGGTGGCCAATGTCCACACCAGGACCTGGAGGGACCTGCTGGCATGGCACCACGTGGGGCTTGCAGTGAAGGGTGGGGACCCAC